CGCGTCGCGCCCAAGAACAAGACCAAAAACGAAGCGACCAGGGGCTTGTGCAAATGGTTTTTGATCTTCTTCTTTGTTTTCAGCCCTTGGCTTGGGCGCGACGCGACCGCGTCGACCGACCGTCTGCCTCCCTCCTTCCCGCTAGCACTACCTCAGCTGGCACGCCAGCACGCCGGCGGACTATGGAAGCAGCCAGTGTAAGCGGTCTTATCTCTCATCGAGGATAACAAAGACCATATCACGATGATGGGATTTGCCCTCAGCGAAATCAAGGATCTCATCGAAGCAGCATTGGCATGCAACAATTTCTGCTTTTCATTGCATTTTCTGCTTGGACATTAAGATTTACAAGAAAAAACGAGGCCTTGCCAAGGGTAATCGCATAGCACCTGTGTTAGCAGTCATCTTCTTGGACCACATCGAGAAGTCATCACTGACTAGTGGAATTTTGTTCTACAAACGTTATATTGATGACGTGTTCATTATCGGAACGACGGAAGAAGACCTTGTGGAGACATTGAAGAGACTTCACTCTCACGATGCTAAAATAACCTTGACAACGGAAGATCCGGAGAGGGATGGATTCTCTCCATTCTTCAATGCGAAAACACGAATAGTGAAGGTCATAAGGAACACCTATGGTGTAGAAAAAGTGCTTCGTCAAACATCTTGTTGCATTCTAGAAGCGCACATCCCATTTATATGGAAACAAACGTCGTGCGGAATCTTCTGAAAACGAAGGAGGAGCTTGGAACGCGAAGGGATTCAGTTGTTTATGCTAAAATTGAAAGTGTCCTTGGAAGCAACGGATATTTTGAAGGCAATACGAGGACCTGGGTCCCGCACGTACAGGACGGCTGATGGTGTAGGCCTCATTGTGTGTTTTGTCAACGACAAAACGGCACGGGAAGTAAACCGCGTCGTCGGGGGATGTGGAAAAAAGTACGTGGGGGAGGCCGCGAGACCACTGAAGATCCGTCTGGATGAACATAGAATAGCGTTGGCCAATCCCGCTGCCTATCCACACAGCATTTTTTCCAGGCACCGTACACATTGGCATTAGGAAGAAACGTCCATCAATTCGATGCGAGGGTTTCGTATAGATATTTGGTACGATCACTGGAAGAGAAAATCATGGAGGCACGAGAAATATACCGCCTCAAGCCGGAAATCAATGCGAAAGAGGAGATGTGTGACCTACTGAGACTGATTGAGTGATAACACTTAGTCGCCTCAGGACAAGCGCGGCGTCCATCTCCCCTTTAAGCTCGCCGCAGACAGGTCCATTCCCTTTTCCCCCTCAATATTTTCGGTTGACTTGGTATGATTCAATGTGTTTTGTATTGTTGCTGATAGTAACTGATCGTATGCTGCAATATATTGTAAATAATTAAGGTCTGACGAAGGCATTAT